ACACACACACACACACACGGCCATGAAAACATAACCTTCTCCAATTCTTGGCGAAGGTAAATATGTATTTATTTATCATTAACATTTTACAACATTTTGTACCTTAAGTAAATAAAAAAAAGCCCTAAAAACTTCACTGGATCTTACCACAAAGTTTATCGGCCTGTTGGAGGTTTGATGTGTACATCGGATTTGGAAGAAGTCTTGTTGCCTTTGGTGGATTGCGAAGCTTCTTTACATGTTCGGTGGTGTCAGGTCTAGAGTCATCTAGATCTGAAGCCTTTTTGCAAACGTTTGTTGTTGCTCTGAGATAGGTTTCATTCTCCCACATGTTTGTAACAGCGTAAGGTTCAATGTCACCATCATCAGTCGCTTTACTGTCTGCCTTTGTAGGGTTTCGGAGCTTGTGTACGAAAGTGTCATGCCTGGAGTCATCTGAAGCCCTTTGGCGCATGTTATTTGTTCTGCTGAGACAGGCCATGTGATCGGACATGTTTGCAACAGCGTAAGGTTCAACGTCACCATTGTCAGTCACTTTACTTTTTCCTTTTTTAATGATTTTAAAAGTATAAGGTTTGATGTGTCTGTGCCTAGTCTCATTATAACCTTTATCTTGTGTTGTGTGGGGCTGAGATTTGTTAGCCTTTCTGTTGGAGTTAAAACTCATAGTCACTGCTTGCTTGACTTGTGTTTCATCTTCACTGTTTTCAGTAGTGGTACCATTTTCAGCATTTTCCCCTGAGGTTGTGTACATGGCAGAGTTTTCAGCATGGATCGGATCAGATACAGAATATACATCAGCAACCTCTGGGGTGGGGATATCATTATCTGCCAATATATAATAATTATCATTTGTGCTTGTATGTTCGACTTCATTGCCAGCTACATATATAGCCTCCAACATGTCTTGTCCTTGACTACTAGGAGTATGAGCCATATAATAATGCTCATCTGTGGTTGTATGTTCGACTTCATTGCCAGCTACACATGTAGCCTCCAACATGTCTTCTACTTGACTACTGGGAGCCATATAATAATGCTCATCTGTGGTTGTATGTTCGACTTCATTGCCAGCTACATATGTAGCCTCCAACATGTCTTCCACTTGACTACTAGAATACTTTTGGCCACACGTTGACATTCTTACTGGCTCTGTGGTGCTTTCTGTATGTAGCACATCCTGATCAGAGCATAGATTATCTTCATTTTGTCCTGGCCTTGTCAGCTCCTTTAGATCATATTCTGCATTGTTCTCCCCTCTGTTGGACTGGTTCATTGTGACTCTGTTAGCAAAGATGAGCAAGATGTTATTTCAGGGCTGAGAATACCACCTGCATAATATATGTTTATATACAGGTTATTGCAGGTAAAATTGAAGCTTTGTAGGTATTTCTGATGTCTACCTGTACCTAACCTGCACTGGGCCATGTACTGGGTATATGCAGGTTAGTTCAGGTAAAATTGGAGCTGTGCAGGTATTTCTGATGTCTACCTGCACCTAACCTGCACTGGGCAATGTACTGGGTATATGCAGGTTAGTGCAGGTAAAATGGGAGCTATGCAGGTATTTCTGATGTCTACCTGCACTGGTCCATGTACTGGGTACATGTACAATGTATGTATATACAGGTTAGTACAGGTAAAATGGCAGCTGTACAGGTACATGTATTTCTGATCAATATCTACAATGTACCTGCACGTAACCTGCACTGGGCCATGTACTGGGTATATGCAGGTTAGTTCAGGTAAAATTGGAGCTGTGCAGGTATTTCTGATGTCTACCTGCACCTAACCTGCACTGGTCCATGTACTGGGTATATGCGGGTTAGTGCAGGTAAAATGGGAGCTGTGCAGGTATTTCTGATGTCTACCTGCATCTAACCTGCACTGGGCCATGACAAAACCCAGAAATTAGGAGACAGACATGTACAGTATATCACTAGTCATGGTTAAAATAAATTTAAATGAACAAAAAAGCAAACTGATTCAGGCACAGGATATTTGTTCACCACCCTTGGTACTGCATTAGATTGTTATAAAAATTCTAGTTGGGAGAAAAACAGGTCTGATCCAGCTCTGTATAAGGCAGACTAATTATAGGATTGAGAATTGTTATACATGTTTCATGTACATAGAGTAAAAATGGCTATATTGACAGTAACTATGCATCTCACTCAAGGACTGACTCATAGACCTGTTTTAACTTTCCATGCAGGCTACTTTCCATGTAGCCTTGGAAGTTATTGGGCCTTGTTAGCTGTACTACAAAGATTCTGCAGATAATAAACAAAACATCTCAGACTGCTGTTTATTAATGCTTAATAATATATAAATACTGAGCCAAGGTCCCGCGAGGGACATCATGCTCAGGGACTGGGAGGTGCAGACCCAAGCGCGGCCGGTGGTGCTGGTGGTGCGTACAGAAAAAAAGAGGAGACAAAAAACAATCTAGTGATTCGGGCTAATCCCACAATATAGTGCAAAGAGTGCTAAGAACAACAACAAAAAAATGGGAGTGGTCACACTTGGGAAGGTACATTGCTAACTCTGGGTGGAAGGAAGGCCCAAATATTGAGCCAGCCCCCGTTTGAATTGACTTGAGTGTAGTCATTGATACTAAATGTTGTGGGAGGTTATTCCATTCTGGCACCGTTCTTGGGAAAAAGCTACCCCTCTGTGTACCTCTGCCTTGGTTGGGAGTACCACAAAACGGTGGGAGTGGCCTCTAGTGGAGCGTGTTTTTAGTCACTGTTATGTAATTGTGTATGGGTATAGCTGTCATGTTATGAATGGATTTGTAAATGAGTGCTAAACGGGCTATTTGTCTGCATTGCTGTAGTGTCAGTAAGCCAAGTGTAGTATGGAGATGTGTGGCGCTTGTAGTGTGTCTGTAGTCCCTGGATAGAAACCTAACCCCCCGTCTTTGTACTGCTTCTAATTTGTCAACTAGTGTACTGCTTTGAGCGTGTTGTCGAACCTGTGGATCCCAGACTACTGCCGCATATTCTAATTTAGGTCTGACCAGCTATTCACAATTTCCAACCCAGGTTGGAAAATTTCCAATGCTATTCACAATTTCCAACCCAGGGCCCAGCCGGGCAGCTTTTGGAAATAAAAGTTACTGTACCATACAAATTGGATATAAAAGACAACAAAACACACAAAAATGTTTAAAAAAATAATTGCTAGCAGTATTTGTATATTTTTGATGATGAATTGTTAATCTGTTGCCCATGAAAACGGCCCAGCCAAGCCCCAGTTTGGAAATGTCACCTTACCATAAGCTGCACTAGTCTATAGCACAACTGTTAGTATTTGTCCTTAGAGATTTCCTAGTCTCCAGACGTTTAGCAGCAGAGAGAGGAAGGTGTGATAATGTATACTTGCTTGAACATCTTTTAAATTTTAAAGTAAAGATCAAGGAAGAGATCCAGAGGAAAAGACAGCTGATATTGTACCTGATTAAGGATTGGCAAAATATTGTGGTCCTGTTTGTGGGTACATATTTTCTTCGGTGCTGGTCAAAGTTGTTTTTACTCGAGTGCCAATTAATAATTTCTTCACTCGACTTTTCATTATTATTGTCTTAAGCTCAGATATTTTAAGCCTGTTATAGCATAGCCTTAGGTATTGCCTTAGGTAGAACAACAGATCCTGTAGATTTGGTATTGATTAGTTTCAAATGAAATTAGGTACTAAACAACAATGGACATGATCAGTCTTCTATTTCTCAGGACTTTTAAAATTCATGTCTCCACACTAACCGTTAAGTTCAGCCTAGAAATCTGGAAATCCTGGCAGTTTTGGAGACTGTTCCTGGCAGAAATTCTGATCAGGAGAAACAAGTTCTCTCCAGTCGGCTGTGGGTGAATTTGAGGTGTGGTGCTCCCGGCTCAGTGGTAGACTAATAAATAGATTAAGAACTGCTGGTGGCACGGACTTACTGAGCTTATATCTTTCATCTCATCTGATTTTCATGTGTTATGAGTTGATTGGATGGCCCACGCCAATACATTTCCTTGGTTCTTGGTACATGTAGTACCTGTCCTTGGTGCTGAAGTCCCGGTTATACTAATGTATTTCCTCATTTCTCTTTTTTCAATACCAACAACCAGAAAACTCTATTAGTATGGCCTAATCAAACAGTGTAAAAATTTGAGCAATGTGTCATTCCTTGGTCCAGCTGCTATGTTGGGGTGGATCCTGGTAGCCAACAGGATCATGTTGTTCTGAAACCATACTATCATGTACATTTGTACAAGAGGCCTTTCATCATTACCAAGAACATTTCAATAAATTCGTTTACGTCTTGCTACATACATTGTATATACAAGTGTTACAAATGTTGCCTCTGAAATGGCTTTACCATCAGAGCAATTCACTGCTTGTTTTTTGGGAAAAGATCTGAACATGAGAACATTAAATTGGTGTGGCCTTAGACATGTAAAAACATATGCTGGAAGCAACTAATTTTTTTCATATTCTTTTGTCGTTAAAGTTTTTCTAAGTCTACATGTAGTTGTTTTTAGTCTGTTACGGATCCCAAAAATTTGCCCATGTTTTTGCACGTAGACAGCATGCAGTTGCACGTATGGTGGGTTGTTACCGAGACTTAAACTACATGCATACAAATACACCATTATTTTCTATAATATCTGCTGTATATTATAAGCAGTATATACTGAAAGTGTGATAATGTCACTGACTGAACTAGGCCATTTCTTAAATCATTCCTAATTGAGACTCAACTTTTTCTCCCAGCCTCAGCTGTTTATCTTGTACTCTTGCTGCATTTATACATGAGAACCACAGCAATAAATTGGCATGTCCCTAATATTTGGGGAAGATGATTTTAAAGTAACGCTGATTTACCACCACAAGCTGCCCCTCCCCACCTGTAGCAACATGCTTGGGTTGATTAATGTAAGCTACGGTGCGGATGTGCTCTCCCTCAGCTGTGAACATCTCCACCCGGCTGTTCTTACTATCAGCCACGATCACACGCCCCAAACTGTCCACACAGATTCCTCGGGGGAAATAAAGCAGTGGACAAGAAATGGAACATCTTTATCGCAGACAGCCTTAAAAATCATGTAGAAAAGTATGACAAGGACGGAGTCTACCTGTCCAGTTTTGTTAGCAGTGCACCTGTTTGAGCGAATGCTGCGAGATGACCACCCCCTAAACGACTTGGTTCCGCCCACTAGGTCTGCAGCAACTGGACTGTCCCTGAGAAACGCTGAGAGGATCAGTCTGCCTCCAGCTCGTACAAAGAGACTGCGCAATTCCTTCTTGCACTGTGCTATCCGGTTGTACAACAACAGACCAACACTTGAAACACAGTAATTAGTTTGTATATATTTGCTAAGTGTGTTCGCTTTGCTTTTACGGATCGATTTAGGTTGTAATCGAGATGCTGTTTTTAAAGATTTTCTGTGTGTAACGTTACTTGTAATGTAAAATTTTGTGATGTGTACATTGATTCATGAATTATGTAACGAGGACGTAATTCGGACAATTTTTGCCCGCGAGCTCCTTTGGACTTTAATGAATGAATGAATGAATGAATGAAGACCTTTTTTGTACATTTTGCCCCACTGGGCTAAAGACAGGTCACATATTGACAAAGTACATCATCAATGTTGATAATAAAACGGCTATAGTACACAAGTACGTTCAACTTCCTCTCGCTTTCTGGTAATCTTATAAATGTAGTTGGCTGTATGAGTAGTTAGAGCTGGTTTGTTAAAGACTACAAGGAATATAAATTTCTCTATACTATTCAAATACTTAAATTGGGAGTATTTGCTTGACACAAAATCGAAAAGAACGTTTCTTTCGCTGTCATACATGGAACAATCCACAATAAAATGTACCTCGTCTTCTACTTTACCTAAACTACAA